ACCCCTTCTCTTAGCATTTTATAATCTCTTCAAACCCTCTCTTATGCATTTATAATCTTTTTCAGTACTGGGGACTGAACTCAGGGACTTGCACAGGGTAGGCAAGCCATCAACCACTGAGCTACATCCCTATGACTCTTGAAAAGCAATACACACATAAAGGGACAATAAAATTGTGCCACATACTATGCCTATTGTAAAATTGCCCTTGTGAAACGTGTAAATTCACAGTCTGTAAATTCCTCTTGTATTAAATAGAATCAAGTAAGAGTTTGGGGCGAGGAGAGATCCCTGGTCCCTTGATATTTCTCTAGAGCATATTGTTTGGAACCGATGATTAACTTTTGGATTAATTTCATACAGTACCAAGTAAATGCCAACTACACAGTGACGACTGCAAAGATCTGCCCCCTCTTCAAGTTGGTGCTTAAAGACATTGTGCTGCTGTTCAAAAGTACCACGCTTGCTCCTGCCTCAGCCCCTTTGCCTCTGCTGCTGCTTCTGTCCAGCTTCCTCTTTCCCCACATCTGCGTGTCTGGCTTGTTCACTTTATCCAGTTCAGGGGTGAATTAGCACTTTCTCAAGAAGGACTTCCCCGACTTACTTATATAAATGTAGCTCTGCTCCCAGGCCTTACCTGCTGTTACCCACTGTTCGCCATGCTTTCGCTGCACTCTGAGTTTCTCCATCACTGTATTATCACTCGGTAGACTAAATGCTTGTGTACGTGTCCTCTGTATTCCTCCACTAGAGTATCAGAGGGAACGGATTCAAGGTGCATCTTGCATTCTTCGTCTGTGTGTAAGTTGTGCCTGGAGTAGTGCTTTGCACATAATAGGTAGACAGTAAATATTTTTAAATGAACAGAGAATAAGTGAGCTGCATGATATTCTTGTTTAACTTTTATGTTTTCAAAAATGTTTTTACTTTTTAAACAAGAGAAAATATTGTTTTCCATTGAAAGTAATGCTGAAGTTAGAAGTGGTGACTTTTACTCTGCATTGTTACCATTTTTTCGTATCTAAAACCTGTCACCCCTTGAAGTACCTGCAGAAATACTTTCTTCCTTCTCATCTAAGCTCCGCAGACGTTCAGGAAGAGAGATGACGAATTTTTCTCCCAAGAAGCCCCGAAAAACGGCACTCATTTTTGTATTAGCAAACAGTTGGACAAAGTAGTACATGGAAGAACATATAAACATTAAACAAAAATATTTTACCTACAGAAATATACTTTCAACCGTCTTCATTTCTCATGCTATTATTAAAAATGTCTCTGCTTGGAGAGAGCCTTTGTGTTTCCATGCTGACTTTTTTGCTGCTCCTGTGAACTTTTAGATTCTGTGTTTGGCTGCACTTTTGTTTTTCTTGGAACTCCGTGCCTTGCAGCATACTGTTAGTTGAAGGACTGTGATGTAGAAATTTATTATTAAAAGTTAAAGAGAGAGAGAGAAGAATTTATTCCATAAGGATGAAAAAGACTTAGTGTCAAGAAGCTAGGATTTTCAGAGTGCTTTATATAACAGATTGTGTTTCTTTTCAAAGCAGCATAAGTTATTTGCCAGGAGTAAAATTAAGGGTCTTTATTTTGCCTATCTGCGTTCATGAGAGAGCTGAAGGATACGGAAGGAGGAAGGATATGTTTTTAGGAGCTTTCTTCCTCAGATGGAAAGATTTGGCTTCTCATGTATAGGACATAACCTTGGTGACCTGTATCCCCAGACCTTCTGGCAAGATGCATACTAAAATGTCGTTCCCAGCCGAGGATTTAGCTCAGTGGTTCCACCTCCTGCCTCATAAGTGCAAGGCCCTGAATTCTATCCCGGGTACATGCACACACACACACACACACACACAATTGGCCCCAAATGTCATTCCCATAGGAGTAATCACAGTTAAATAGATAAGATTTTTTTAAACAGATGATGAGACATTTTTCTTCCTGTATAAAACAGTTGTACACTGTGATCAGCTATGTTTTCATTTTCTGTATCTTTATTCATTTTTCCAGTGTTAATCTCTCTCTGTATTTTATTTCTAGCATCCTTATATACCCAATCTTAAAATCGTAAGTGTTTTTCTTACAAAAGGAATATCATGGCATACATAGTAAACTTTCTAACTCTTTTCCCAAAATTGCTTAGGTATCATGCTGTTATTCATTTATGTTGAAGTTTTAGTTCACATGGATTAAATTGCAAAAGGAAAAAAAATCCACAGATTCTACTTCTGTTTCTCATTATCCGTTCTCCATTAATGTCTTTTATCTAACTCCATGATCTAGTCAAAAGGCTATGTCGGTCATCTGCAGTTTAACACTAATCCTATGTCTTTGACTGAAAAGATGTTTTCACTTTTGCATTGATATAACTTCTGTGTGCACTTAGTCCTGAAACTTCTTGACTTCATTGTGCGTGCTGGCTTTACTGCTCATTGTAATTGACTAGTATTTTTCATGTGCTGTAGTTACTAATCAAATAGTGCAGATAGGGGATCATCTGTGCAGCATGTTGTAAAACAGTCCTGTGGTTCTCCTTTCACGAGAATACCTACATTGACCAAATGCTCAGTTTCAACAGTCTACAATATAAAGTCATTTTATCTCATTATGGATGGGAATAACTCTCTCTTGTAAGTAACACTTTTGTTATATTTCCTGTCAGAAGTCAGATTTAGACAGTATTTTTTTGCTTGTTACTTGTTTGTTTATTTTGTGGTTGTGGGCATCAAACCCAGGGGTGTTCTACCAACAAGCCACATCTGAAGCCCAGTTTTATTTTTTAATAATTTTGAGATAGGGTCTCTTTAACTTGTCAAGTTTCCTGGGCTGTGCTAGATCTTAGGATCATCTTGCCTCTTAGGATCCTCTTGCCTCAGCCTCCTGGAGGTGGTGTGTGTGTGTGTGTGTGTGTGTGTGTGTGTGTGTGTGTGACCACACTCAGCTATAAATGAACATCTGTAAGATATTTAGTGATAAGTGCACAGAGTGTATTACATGCTTTTCTTTATCTAGTTCTAGTTCTGGAAAAATATTGTCTTCTTAACCATGTCCTCATCAAATGCTTCCTCTTAGATTAAAATATTGTGGATTACAGTTTATGTTGTGAAATGTACTTACCTCATTATACTATGATAAGCATACACCGTATCCTTTACCAACGTATTCTGATCCTGATGGTTCAAATTCATTAGTAAGGTTAGTAGTAATCATACTCAACTATTATCTTCTTTCTAGAAGATTCTGATAAGTCATTTCACTAGCAGTGTAGTGCTTAACTTTATTATTGCTTTAAAGTTTCCCCAGACAACCATCTAGTTTTTAATATTAGATATTCACAGGTCTCAATAATCCAATTGATGCAAATGTGTCAAAAATTGTTTTGATAGTGCTTGTGAACAGATAACTAAAAGTATTTGACTTTTTCCAAGTGATTCTTATTATGTGTATTTAAAGTGTAAAAGATGATACTGGAGTAAAATGTGGTGGAATAATTACTGCAGTGAAGTAAATGAACACAGCCATTTTCTCAGTTACCTTTCTTTGTTTTTTATTGTTGTAGTAAGAGTATGTAACATTTATTCTCTTAACAAGTTTTCAGTGTGCGTTAAAATATTTTATCACTCTCATGCTGTGTATTAGATCCTTGGACTTACTTACCTGATGTGACTGATTATTATGTTATTTCACATCGTTTGTTTTTGCTTGCTATTTCATACTTTAAAAATTCTCCAAGCTTTCAAATGGAATTATGTGGAAATTATAAATTTGTTTTGATAAAACTGAACTTAGTCATTTTATAGAATTCAATGTTTTTAACAAGTAGCATTGTGTTCACTGATAGAGGTTTTCTATTTATATATATGATTGTCAAACGTGTCTTGATATGTTCAAAGTATATTATCTTTTTCTTGCTTATTATATGTGCTAAGTCATTGCATACATAAAGCATATATATGCATATATGTGTGTGTGTGCGCGCACGCGAGTGTGTGTGTGTGTATATATATATATATATATATATATATATATATATACATATATA